ATCACTTTAGTTCTTTCAGTTTATTGAGACAAATAGCTTGCCGGGAAAGCAAGCTTCATAGTTACCGCAGCCTCGCCTCAGGAGGCATTCAGGTGGAAGCGCTTAGGCAGCATCACTGACATTTGAAAAAAATGAGGCAAAGAGTTCTAAGGACTCTGGAGCAGATCGGTTGTTATTAACTGTTGTTAGACAATCACGGGTTCGGGTTATTTGGGAAATAGCCAGGAAGCCCCTGTGTTGTGGCAGCATTTATTTATTTTTAAAAATATTTTTATTTAACTTTATTTTTTAAGAATTATTTTATTTAACTTTATTTAGTTATTCATTTTAAATTTGACCATAAAAGGACAGAGTGAGAGAGATAGAGAGAGGGAAGGAAAGTGAGAAAGCAAGCCACCTGGTCCAGGACTCAAACCATGGTTGGCCATGTGGGAGTCCAATGCCCTCAACCACCATGCTACTTGCTGACCCCATGTGGCCACATTTAAAGAGATGCACTTTGTAAAATTGTAAAATAAACCTGAAAAATAAAAGAAGTCATGATGTTTTTGTATTTATTCATATCTCCTGAGTCATAGATTGGGCAGGCATATCAATAATCCATCATACAATGGAAATGGTATATTCTGGATTGGACCTGAGTAAATGCAGAAAGCACAGGTATTTTACCCAAGCAGGCCATCACCTTCCTCTGTTATATCTCTGCCTCTCCCTCAGCTCATCCCTGTGGCCTCATTAAAGGTATATTGCAACCCAGTTGATGGAAAAGAAAAAGAACTCTGGCCTAGTCTGAGGATAGGTCTGCTCCATATGGTGATTGTTGTCAGTCTAGGTAGACTGCTGCCATGCGTGGCTCTCTCCATAATGACTGAAAAGCAGTAGTGATGGGAGACTCCCAATGGGCCATGCATCAGGCAGTCCACCGGTCACCAATTTGTGATGAACAGAGACATGGCCCAAGGTACATACATACATAACCTTCTGGGCAGTGGCACATGGTTTGATTGGTTAGTCAGAGAAGACGACTAGAAGACTGAAGACAAATGATCTAAGGAAGAAGCGTGTGAGTGGATCGATGCCCATAAAGAATAATCATCACAGTGGAGATGCAGAACATCCAGGAATATAGGATGATTCATCCAGTGGAGTAAGCTGGTCTCCATCCTGGGTCATCCCAGTGCTTTCTCAGTGGGCCCATGAACAGAGTAGCCATGTGGAAGTATTGGGGACTAGGGACTCCACTCACCAACCCCCGCCTAGCTATTACCACTGAGTGCCTCATCACTTAGACCTGAATCTGAGGTTGACTCCTAAACACGTTACTATCCCTCAGAGAGACCACCAATCACTTAGTGTAAATTAATTTCATCAATCCTCTTCCACCCTGGAAGGGGCAAAGATTCCTCTCTAATGGGATTAGGTCCAAGAGTGGGTTTGCCTTTTCCTCCTGCAGTGTCTTGGCCAGCATCACTATCCAAGGTTTATAGAGTGCCTGATGTGTCATTATGGAATGCCACACAGCATTACCCTAAACCAGTGTTTCTCAAATTGTTTTTCATTATCACTCCCCTATGGAACCTCCTGCCCATAGCCTCCTATTTAGAAGATATATTTGTAGACTTTTTTTTCTAACTGCGACCCCCATAAATTTTTTTTGAAAAGTTTTTGTTATAGGGCACATGCGCTCACCAGAAAGACAGACAGAGACAGAGACAGAAAGCGAGAAATCACTCCCCAGGGGGGATAGCCACACCGCAATCCCTTCTCCTCCATTCTCCTCACAGGATCTTGGGCACGCTCACACACATGCCTGGCGTGAGTTTAAGCCACCGGGTCCAGGATTTGAACCATGGTCGACTACATGGGAGTCCAGTGACATAGCCATTACGCCCACTGCTGGTCTCCATCCCCATAAAATTTTAATAGTACAGATATATTGGATCTTTGTTAGTACAGATATATTGGATCTTTGTTTATCCACTGCATGTGTATCTATCTGTGCTTTATGTGTAAAAAGAGTAAGATATATTTTGCCTATCAAGAACTAATTTTCACCTACCCTTTAGAGCAATACTGAACCCACTGAGAATGCACACCTTCCACTAAGAGATTCACTTTACAGTGAAGGTGGTACGACTGTGCTCAAATCTCTGTGGGGCCCCCTTGCATACTATCTCCCACATCCTCTAGAATCTGCAGTCCTGGTAAAATGTTAGAATGGGACCTTGAAGGTGCAGCAGCTTGAGAGTGAAACTTTGCAGAGCAATGACCTCAAAGATGAGGTGCTTATTTCGCCACAATATTCTACCAGCTCCATTGGAATATCAGGATTCCAATAGGTGGGAAACACAGGTCTGGGAACCAGGAGGTAGAGTAGACTGCCATAGTAGTCTCTCTCCCTCAACCCCCTGGGGGAACTTGTGCTCTCCATCCCTTCCATTGAGGATCTGCTTGTCTAGAGTTCCTGGTTCCAGGGGATTGTCAGAGAATATATATACCAAGGGACCTAGAAAGTGTTCCACTAAAGCTATAGCCAATGCATGGTCATTTCGATTCCTTGCTCCAGGAGACAAGCATGTAAAGAAAGGAGTAAGTATCTGGGCAGAAGTAAGTGATTATCATGAGGTAAAAGAGACAGGGATGGCAGCTCGGAGAAATACATATGGAACTCAGGAGCGTCACTGGGGTGTATCTGCGTTCCCATGTCTTGTGACAACCATAAATAGGAAATTTCAACAAATAGGTTCTAACAAGACCTGATAAGCAGAGGCTAAGACCCAATGGAGATGATGGTCCAGATTACCCCACCAATCTAGAAACCTAGACAGCAGACCTAGCCAACTGTAAGGGGATTCTACAAGGTATGTGCATTAGTTTCCTAGGGCTGCCATGACAAATTACCAGAGACAGTGACTGGAACAAGTTTATTTTCTCACAATTCTGGGGCTGGAAGTCTAAGAGCAAGCAGATCACTGTGTCAGCAGAGTGGTTTCCAACGGGCTCTCACCTGACTTGAAGGTGGCAGATGGCCACCTGCTTGCTGCATCTTCATGTGGTCATCCTCTAGACACACATACCCGTGGATCTCCTCCTCTTCTTGTAAGGACACTGGATGTACTGGATTAAGACCCCATCTCAAAAGCCTCACTTGAACTTACTTATTTCTTTAAAAATACTATCACTGGGACCAGCAGATGGCATAGCGGTTACATTGCTAGACTCCCACATGGCTGACTGCAGTTTGAGTCCCCAAACTGGTGGCTTGAAAATTGCACCAGGCACATGTGCACATGTGCCCAAGATCCCAGGAGGAAAATGCAGGAGAACGGATTGGCATGACTATCCCCCGGGGGTGGGGGGGATGATGTCTCGTTTTCCTCTCTCCCTCTTTCTTTCAGCAAGTGCACATGCTCTGTAACCCCCTCCCCCACCAAAAAAAGACACTATCACCAAACACAGTCACATTCTGAGGTACTGAGGGTTGGAACTTGAATATATTGGGGGGGTGGGGTGGAGGGGTGGCTCACCCGTAACAGGGTGGTAGAGGGAGATGACATGCATGTATCAGTCATGGACTTAGAACCATCTGCTGCACAAGGACTGTAGCTTGCCCTGTGTGTGTGTTTTTGGAAGAACTAATGACAGGATGGAGTAAAATTAATGTGGGGCACAGATGGGGAATTTGAGAAGAACTAGGCCATCCAACATTTCCCTCACCAGCTGGCATTCCGAGTGCATGCTACCACACCTGGCCTTTACGTTGGATTGGGAACCAGACTGGACCTCTCCCGTGGCCCCAGCCTGTGAGCACAACATCACAGCAGTGTGTCCCACCACAGCTGGGCTACCTTCTCATTTTGAATTTTGATAAGTATTTGCCAAATGAGGGACACAGGAGGATCTGTGCCATGTGGAGGTCAGATGCTGTCAGCACCCAAACCACATGCCCTCAGTATCAACCATTTCCTTAAATACCAGCCCAGCTTCCAACTGCCAGGCATTGAGTCCCTGCCAGACACACTGACTACTGGAACCCCCTCTGTCAGTGTTCAAGGCAGCCCAGAAGTGCCAGGATATTAATGCCACCTGAGAGGAGCTCTCAACAGTGGCTGGTAAGAGTTGGTGAATAAATAGCCCAGCTCTCTCACCCCTTAGGCGAGCTATCTCTGAGGTGTGTGTTTTACATTGTTCCCTAGGAGTCCCCAACTGGATTCAATTCCAGTTGCCCACCATGTTGATAATCATGCTTTTTGCCTTCCTTCCTTCCCTGTCTCACTTCCCCACTTCTATCCTACTGCTTGCTGGGATCACCTCCCAGAAAAACTATAAGGGATCTTCAAAAGTTTATGAAAATGCATATTTTAAATGACTATGCATGGATTTCAATAACTTTTGAACCAAAATAAATTCATACTTTAATCCTATTTTTCCATGAATGTTTTGAAGTTTCCTTATACTTGGACTGAAATCTTTATTTCAGGGGTGAAACCCAAATTAATATGCTAACATCTATGGAGTGGCTCCCATGTACTGAATTTAACACATATACTCACTTGACCAACTTCATTCCCTTCACACTCCTTATTTGTCTTACAAGTGGTTGTTTCCCTAGGAATGTTTTCTTATAGGCCACTGTTTCTATCACATTACTCCTGTGTAGCAGGTGCTAGGGATATGGCAGGACTACTCTCATGTAGGTCACAGTCTAGAAGGAAAGAGAGACTTTGAACAGTTCAAGCGTGAATCATCTAATAAGGAAAATGGGGGTGGATGCAGAGGATATACAGAATTAGGATCCAACCTAGTCTGGATGGTGACTCACAGAGGAAATAACGTTGTAACTGACATGGAAAGGGATAGTAGCAGGTGGCACAGCACCCTCTCCACTTGGCCTCGCTGACCAGCAGTTTGTCTTGCTGTAGTCTAACAATTACAGATGTGACAAGGGGTCTAATAAACCTTGGAATACAGATGGTTAACACAAAAACGCAAAATAAATCCTGAATCACCAAGAACCTTTATTTTACTTTATATCAAATGGAAAGAGCAATAAAATAAAAAGTACTACTTTCCCATTCATAAAACACTTTACGTCAATTACAATGAGCAACAGAGAGAAAAGCGAAATCCCTGAGGAATTGCCAACAATAAATAACATATGTAAAAATAGAAAGTTCCGAGTGAGAAGGAAAATTTCCTGAGCTCATTCAGTTTGGGGAAGTCAATGGCCCTTTGCAAACTTCAGTTTCTCAATAGGATATCCAGCTGATGTAAGTTTCCTGTCATGACAAGAAGCCATCATATTCGGTAGCATGTTAGATTAAAGAGGAGAAATGGTCAATCTTCTTTCAGTCAATCTGTCCATAGTTCTGGGACAGTTACTGCACGAAGGAGAGGAAAATATATTTTTTTGTGGTGACACAATTTTACAACATACTGAATATTTTAACTTGACATTAATTAAAATATACTGTTTTATCACAGAGTGTGACTGTTGTAACTTCCTGCTGTTTGGTGGTGACAAAGGAAGACCCACATATTTGTGAAAGGATCTTTGTGAAAGATTCCAAGATGTAGGAAAGATGTTCCCCATTAAGATCTCGGATTGGCTTTGTAATTCTACAATTATCTTGCAGAATAGAGACAAAATAACACATTTCATTAATTCTAGGGTATACTTTTTTTCACACTTTAGCATCTCAAATCTGAATGGGTTTGACCATTAATGACCTGTTACAAGTTAATTGGCAACCCTGTCATTCCCACTTCAGGTGGTACAGAAAATAATGGCATATTTTATAATCGATGGCTTCTTAGGTTAGATTAATATGCTGCTCTATATTCAGTACACACAGTGATCCTTATAAAAATAAATCTGACATTTAACCTTGGTGATTTTCCCAACTGAAAAAAAGAAAAGTGCTGGCAAAAATATTTGACATCTTAAATTTCAGCATGAGCATTGCAGCTTCAGGAACAGTTAGAAGAATGGCGACGTGGAATGAGCTCACACCCTACTTCTGCTTCTGTCCCCAATCAGAAGCTGACTTCACACTTCTAGACTTCATTTCCTCATCTGTAAAATGAGAAAGTGCAACCAGATGGCTTCTAAGTCTTCCAGTCAAAAAGAAGGGTAATTTTAAATCTTGCACTACTGAACATGTGTGTCGCTGTAGAAATCCCATAGCTGTGCTGCTCAAAGCCAACGGAGCTTCTTCTTCTGTGGCCACCTCTGCTGTCCCAAAAGTTAACACTCTGAATCAAGAGACTTTCCTCCTTCCCAAGCAGAAAACACAATCCATTGGATCCTTTGCTATGTGACTGGGAAAAAATAATTCTTCAGTCTGGGGCAATTTGTAAATTTCCTCAAAAAACTGCAGAACTCAAGTAGCATAAGTTGAACTAAATGTCTATCACAAATCTGAAATATCAAAAAATTACAGCAAGAGTTTGCAACATCTTCATGACTGACAAAATTTGGGTATAGACTCTGCTGCTCTGGGTGTCTCTTTCCATACCATAGAAGCAGTATCTGGAAAAAGCTTTTCTATTTTTTCCTAAAAGAAAATAACAAATTTCATTTGAATGAGCCATGTACATCAATACTCACTCCTAATTGCATTTCTTTAATAGTAAATAATACATATATCTACTTTTTTTTTTTTTTAGCAATTTTTGCTAAAGGGTACATGCACTTGCCAGAGAGATAGAAAGCAAGAAATCACCCCCCGCCCCAGGGGGGGATGACCAGTCTCCTCTTGAGATTTTGGGCATGTATACACATGTACCCGGCGTGAGTTTTAAGCTGCTAGGTCCAGGACTCAAACTTTGGTCAATTACATGAGAGTCCAGTCATGTAACCATTACACCATCTGCTGGTCCCATCTACATTTTTGATACATATACTTTGAAGTTCAAAAATTACAATCTTTCTCTACTCAAACATGTTAGAATTAAAATAGGACAATTTAGCAACTAAAATCAACAACTGCTGAACAAATCACAAATTCCTAATTCTGTTTAAATTTCAATTCCAAGGGACCAGCAGTTAGAGTAATGGCTATGTCGTTGGACTCCCACGTAGTCGACTGCGGTTCATGTCCTGGATCCTGTGGCTTAAAACTCACGCCGGGCATGTGTGCGTGCATGCCCAAGATCCCGAGAGGAGAACAGAGGAGAAGGGATTGCAGCATGGCCATCCCCCCTGGGGGGGGTGATTTCTCGCTTTCTGTCTCTCTCTCTCTCTCTCTTTCTGGCGAGTGCACGCACCCTATAGCAAAAACATCTCCAAAAAAAAAATTTCAATTCCAAAGTTTCATTTCAACTATTTCTTTTTCTTTTCTCTTTTTCTTTTTCTTTTTTATTTATTTTTATTTATTTTACATACTTTCACTGGACATCACCACTGCATACAAAATGCAATTTTCCAGCCAGAATACACTGTAGAGTGGCTTAAACATACATGTTATCATCAATGAATAATTATCTATTTCATTCTTTCCCACATTGTATTGATTTACATAATATCTTAATTTAAATACTTTCAATAGTAAGTTCAGCTGATATATACATATCTGTGAACAAAAGTTGACTTTAGGCATGAAACTCTGTGGATAGAATGAATATACTATAAAATAGCACATAGCTGAGGCTATATAGCTTACTGTGGTTATCAAATAGGTATTTTTTAAATATACTTTTTAATGTAAAGAAAGGCAGTTTTAGCTTTAATAAATCAAAATCAAAAAATGTTAAGCAAACTTTGCTTAATACCTAAAGCCAGGAAAAAGGTTAGGATTCTGTTTGAATAGTAGGTACATAGATTTGTCCACAACTTAAGAAAAGACAAAACTCCTTAACACTGGGAAATAAAGCATAGAAGGTCAGTAATGTATTAGTAAAAAGTCATAAAATTCTATTTCACCAGTTCAAGCTCATGTACTTTATCTTCTGCTGTGGTCCAATCTCTCTGTTTAAATTCAGAAGATAACATTCAACTCTGTACTTGTCCCTACCATTAAGCTGTTTTAGAACTCATTTCTGTGTGTCTGACTTCGGTTTTCCTGGGATAGTACTCCCTTCAGAATTTCTTGGAGAGCTGGTCTGGTATTGGTAAATTCTTTCAGGTTTTGTTTATCTGAGAATGTTCTTGTCTTCTCTTCCCGTATATGAAGGATAACCTTGCTGGATATAGTATTCTTGGTTGAAATTGTTTTTCACTCAACACCTTTGAATATATTTTCCCATTCTTTCCTTGTTCATATTGTTTCTGATGACAGGTCTGCTGTTAGCCAGATGGGATATCCTTTGTAGGTAATATGACATTTCTCTGTTGCTAGTCTGAGTATCTTGTCTTTGTCTGTGGTTTTGGTCAATCTGGCTATCATGTGTCTTGGAGAAGATCTTCTTGAGTTGATCTTATTTGGGCCCTTTGTATTTCTTGGGTCTGGATCTTTGAATGTCTCTCTAGCTTTGGGAAGTTTTCTTCCAGGATTTCATGGAATAGATTGTCAATGCCCTTATTAGTCTTTTCACCTTCTGGGATACTATCCAGATGTTTGGACGTTTAATGGTATCTAGTATTTCTCATATATTATTCTCATTTTTTGGGCTATTTTCTCAGGCTTCGTGGTGGATTTTACTAGTCCAGTGATCCTGTCTTCTACATCTGAGATTCTGTTTTGTGTATGATCTAGTCTGCTTTTAATACTGTCAAAGAAGGTTTTGACTTCCTGTATTATAGCCCTCATCTCCAACAGTTCCATTTGACTCTTTTTTTATGGTGTGTATATCCTCTTTCAGCTTTTGCAAGAAATTCCTCACCTCCTGGGACTCATCAGCTTTTTTTTTCTGGTGTTCATTGTCCCTCTTCTCTTCCATCTCTGTTAGTTTTGTCACTATGAATGCTCTAAATTGTTTATCAGACATTTCCATGATTTCCATTGTACTATCTGTGGATGAAGAAAAGTTATTCTCTTCCCTTGGGGGAGAAAGATATTTTTTGGTTTCACATATTTCTTGTGACCCTGTGGTGATTTCTAGTCATCTGATGGGTTATCCGTTTCTTCCTAGTTCTAGAAGATAAATCTGAACAATCAGAAGCACACAGGAGGATGTGGTGGTCTGCAAACTTTTGGCATTGCATTGTTCTCCCTTTGTAACACAGATTTGGTGGGAGTTGAGGAATATGAGGACCCAAATAGTATTCAGATTTGGCAACATTTCATTTAAACTTGTCTAGACACTCAGTAGATGGAAGCTGAGCAGTGAAGTGATGAGGTTAAAAAAAAAAAAAAAAAAAAGGATGAGAAAAAGAGAAAGAAAAAAAGAGAAAAATGGATAAAGCAAACAGAAATGATTTATTTGTTAATTATAAAAAGCAATAAATGAAATCACTAGATCTCTGCTCTCATGGCAGACTCAGTCTTCTTCTGGCCTGCCTTTTTTTGTCTAGTTGTGAGGGAAAAGAGGAGGGGATTATTACCAAGATAAAGGAAGACTTCAGAGCCTAGAAAATACTTTCCCTTAAAAAAGTCTTTTTTTTTAAATTAGAAAACAATGAAAAGAGACAGAAAGTCAAAAAGAGACAGAGAGATACAGAGATGGAGACAGGGGTCTACCAGGGTGGATTCTCAGCAGAACATCTTCAGTGCTTTTATCTCCAAAATCACTAGGTCTCAGATTTCATGGCGAACTCAGTCTTCTTCTGTCCTGCCTTTTTTTGCAGGGTAGATTCTCAGCAGAACATCTTCATTGCCCTTATCTCTGAAATAACTGCTTTCCTCCCTTTTCTTTGAGAGATGTGTATCTGGGAGACCTTCTTTGTTCTTTACTTCCTTCATCCCAGCAGTTTTCACACTGTGGTAACTTTCAGTTTGGTTATCTGTCTTCCCCGTGGATGGCACAGTCTGCCTCATTCACTGCTATCTCTTGCTCAACACGCGATGGATACTCAACACGCCATTAGAGCTAAGGTGTCATGCCTCTTTTTTCTTTCTTATTATTGCCAGAGGACACATGTCCTCACCCAAGAGAGAGTGAGAAAGAAAGAGGGAAAGAGCACCATCCCCCATGGGGCATGACCATGCCACAATCCTTTTTCCTCCATTCCTCCTTCCTGTCAGGATTTAGGGCACACATATGCATGTACCCAGCATGTTTTTCAAGCCACTGGGGTAACATTCAAAAGGTGGTTGGCCATGTGTGACTCAGCTCTCTTAATCAATGCACTGCAAGGCCAGCCGTGTTCCAACCATTTGAAATGTTGTGATAAGTTGCTAAGTTACTGAGCTAGGCTCTCCTTTAAAATTCTCTGGAATTCAGTCATGAATCCCTGATTCATTGAGCTAGCACAGAAACTAAAATTCTATAACTTGAAAGATACGGTTCTTTTACTTGAAAGTAAGTATATTGGCACTAATGTTTTCTAGTCATTGTATTCTTGGACTTTAAGGAGCTGGAATCATTGGGTTAATAGCTACTCTGAGAGGCCTTCAAAAAGTTCATGTAAGGGATCAGGAGGTGGTGTAATGGTTACATTGCTTGACTGCCATGTAGTCAACCGCAGTTTGAATCCCTGGACCTGGTGACTTGAAATTTACGCTGGACGTGTGTGCATGACGGCCCAAAATCCTGAGAGGAGAATAGAGAAGGGATTGTGGCATGGTCATTTCCCCTGAGGGATGACTTCTCGTTTTCTGTCTCTCTTTTTCTGTCCTTCTGGCAAGCACGTGTGCCCTACAGCAAAAATCTCTCATAAAAAAAAACGTTATATAAAATGCATATTATGAAAAAATGATTCATGGATTTCACATTTTTTGTACTAAAATAAACTCCACAAGCTTTATTAAAGTTTCCTCATATTAAATAGAATATGTAGCTTACCCAAACAGGTAGATGGAAGAGGTCAAGGGTAAAAAGAAACACTTGGGACTGGGACTGCCAATGCCCTGGGCAGTAGGCATCAATTACACAGCATTCCAGAAAGCAGGCTTCACCTTTGAATCCCAGGTCACCAATTTACCATGTTCCTTCTCTGCCTCTAATCAAGACTCTATCCCTTCCCATGAATAAAAAGGAAGGCATGCTCCACAGGGCCCAGTTACGCTGCAAGCCCTTTCCTCCAGACCTTCAGTCTATCAGAATTCTGACGTGTGAGCATGTCCCAGCATGTATACAAGCCAGCCAGGCCAACTGCAGTCAGCATGTGGCTTGAAGAACTGCACTCTAGTATGTTACCAACTGGGCTTGCCCTCACTTTTCTTTCCATTAAAAGCTAAATACTTTTAATAGCAAGAATCATGTGTGTTTCACTTGAGAGCATTTCTTTTTTAAAAATTATTTATTTTATTTTATTTATTAATGCATTTATTTTAAGTTGACCAGAGAAAGACACACAGAGAAAGAGAGAGAAGGAAAGCAAGAAAGCAAGCCACCAGGTCCAGGACTTGAACCATGGTCAGCCATGCAGTAGTAATTAGCGCCTTAACCACCATGCCACCTGCTGGTCTCCAGAGCACTTCTTAATTAGAGGAGTGTAATAGTACAAAAGAGCTTAATGTGAGCAGACACAGAGTTAAAGAATAATAAATTAAGGGAAAAATACCCTCTCCAGTCCACTTCTAGTTGTAGTATCCAGAGAGGCCATTCTGAGGGAACCCCATGTCCACCAGTGTGCCAGCCTAATGCCAGCCTTTCTTGCCCTGTTTCTTGCTGGTGTTATAGAGAAGCTTTATGGGCTTTAGAAACTCAGCAGTTCAAATGCAGCTCAATTATGAGAAAATTAAAAGTTCTTACCAAAGATGTTACTGATAGATCAAACTGTAGTCACCAACCAAAGAATAATCAGGGTTATCTGCAAAGGGCAGAGCACAGAACATTAAGTTACTGTGTTTTCATGATAAGATCTTAGCCCTTTTCAAATCAAAACATTCCACTTAAAGATTCAGATGACTACTCCTTTGTAGAAAGATAATATATCTGGCAACAAGATCTATTTAAATGGGATCTGAACAATGACACAGCAGCAGTAACGTGGTGCTCTGCATGGATGACCTTCATGGAAGGGTTCTGGGTTCACATCTGGAGAACTCCTTGAGGAGGCCAGGCATGTGCATGCCCATGACCCATGGCTGGATGAACCTAGGGTGGATGATAGCACCAAGACCCCATTCTCAGTACTATGTAGATATTGTGAGAAATACAGAAGAAATATTTTTATTCTCAAGGGTCCTGTAATTATCCAGGGAGTACAATTAACAACAGATGCTAAGACGTACAGTCTCTTTGACATACCGTAGGAGTTCAGAGAAAACTAATAAAACACCTAATGAAATATCCCATTATGGGCAGTATAAAATATATAATATTAAGTCACATGTTTCTAGACATCTATGCTTTCTATAAATTACATTTCTGTGTAATCCAAAAAGAACTATTAATACGGTTTGGTTCCACTGTTTTCATAGTTCAAGTTTAAATACTTAGTACTTCGGTAACTGAATTTTCTTGGAATAATCTATAAAATAGACCAACAACTATAAAATTTCACTTAGCAATAAGTTGTATTATAACAAGAGTATAAGATTGACTCACTTGCTTGAGAATTTAATTCTATATAATTCCTTCTTTCCCTTTACTTCAAAATTCTAACTATCCAATTGTAAAGAAAACCTGACATGTGAATTTCAAAAGATCTTTCCTGGTGGCATACCTGGTAAACTTTTAGGAACTGGGAGAGGTCCTCTTCTATAAGAAACAAAAAACAAACATCTTTCAGTTTAAGTTCTTGATATTTTCATGATTTTCAATTTCATGCTACAAGAATATTATATACTGATAAGATCTGGTTTCTACACTGGAGGATCAAGAAAGTGCAGATGAAGCAAGTGATCTTCAGCACTGATCTACTGAAATCTAAGAGGCAGACTTGAGATTAAGCCAAGAGAGTGGAGGTACTGTGGTTAGGAGGACAGAGCCATGATTCACAACCCAGACTGGCAGTTAACAGCTCAGTTGCATAGGCAAGAATTCCTGATCTCCTTGTAAAACAGCATATAAAAAACAGGAAATACAAACAGTTCCTACTTCATTGGAGGACTGAATCAGCAGACTTATAGTAATGGTTCTGAACATGCTTGCATGCTTAGATACTGAAGGGGATCATGCAATACTCTGCAGACACTGCCCATCTTTACTAAAACTGGACTGAAAATTCAACAGCTAGTCTTCAGACTGACTCTATGTGAAACAGAAGTTTCTATTTCTATAGGATCCTTTATTTGAGGAGCAAACTTTTTCTGTTAAGGGCCAAATAGTAAGCAATATAGGCTTTTGTTGGCCACATGCTATCTCTCTTATAACTCTACTCAACTCCAGTGGGAAATCAGCCATAGACAAAATATAAACCAGTGAGGGTGGTTGTATTCCAATACGATTTTGCAGGGCAAGATGGTGGCATAGTAGCAATGCAGCTGGAATCACATGGGAATGTCCTGGATTAACATCCTGGGCCTCCTTGTATGTGCCAGGGGCCAGGAGCAAGTACATAGCTGCCTGTGACCCAGTGTGACTGGGTCTGAGGATAGATCATGACATGAAGATTGTTAGGGGGCCTGTCTCTCTCATAGAAGAAATATATGAATAAACTTAACAAGAACCTTTGCAGGGGAACACTGAAATTTGAATTTCATATAATTTTCATGTATCACCAAAGAGTATTTTTTTGACATTTTTTTCCAGCCACTTAAAAATGTGAAAACTATTCAGAATAGGTCCTACAAAAAGAGGCAGATCAGATTCGACTCACAGGGAGCCACAGTTTACTGAATCCTGCTTTCTGAGGGCTATAAGAAATGTACAAGAGTCATAAATGAGTAATAATGATCACCCTCTGGCATGCTAGTTCTCCTTGAACTATTGCTAGTAAGGTCAATGGATTTAACATTTGTCCTAAAAACACTATTTCCAAAGAGCCAGCAATCTCTTTAACCAAATTCAGTGGTAGATTTGAATGTTCCAGTTCAACATGTCTTAGACTGGTAGTGATAAAAACATTTGTTAAAGGTATTATTGTTCATGTGAAAGGCTGGTGATTACCTTGCCAAGTTAGGGGCTGTGGCCTTTCCTGGTGGGGCTGCATTCTTCTGGGGGCAGTAGAAATTCTCATACATGACAGGTGCTAGAATTATCAAGAAATAAAAAAGTAAGAGGCAGGTACACCTTTCAACCTTAATGACTTCTAGCAAGAAAGACTAATAGTATGGCTTAAGTAAATCAACCCCTACTGCCCCACTCACCTGGTGGAATCTGTCCAGTTTTGCGTTGATTCACAAAGTACTCAATATCCTTCTCAATGCTGCACATTTCTAAACTTTTACGGACTTGTTCGTACATCTAACAAAAAGAAGAGAAATTAGTAGACACAGGAATGACAGGGAAAATTGTCACATGGCTCATTATGAAAAGAGGTTCAGGGCCAGCAGATGGCATAGCAGTTACTTGCTGGACTCCCACATGACCAACTACGGTTCAAGTCCTTAACCTGGTGGCTTGAAAATCACAATGGGTACAGGTGCATGCTTGCCCAAAATCCCTAGAGGAGAATGAAGAAAAAGGGATTGCAGCATGACCATCCCCCCTTGCCTTCTGTCTCTGTCTCTCCAATGAACGCACATGCCCTATAGCAAAAAATTCTCTATTAAAAAAAAGGAGGTTCGACAAATGGCTGACTCATTTCCAAATTTCATTCTCTGATGCTTTTGTGTTATTAAATTATCTTTTTAATTTTTTTAATTACCAGAGGGCATGAGCATTGGCCAGAGAGGCAGAAAGAGAGAGAGAGAATGCACTCCTTACTGGGGATGTATCTATGCCACAATCCCTTCTCCTCTATTTCTCCCTCCTGTTGGGATTTTGGGCACGCGTGCACCTGGCATGTTTTTCAAGCCTCAAGGGCCAGGATTTGAACCATGTTTGACCATGTGGAATTCAGTTCCCTTAACCACTAGGCCATGGGGCAGGCCCTAAATTTTCTAAAAGATGATAGGAAGTGTATCTTTGAAACAGGACAAGAACTTTGGCTGAAAAATTAATAAATATACTGATGGAACCAAAAAATAAATACCAAGTCTCATGACACAAGATTAATGCCATACACAAAAGCAAAGACAATTAATTTGAGGGAAAAAAAAGTTCTATTCAATTCTATGGGGTTTTGGGTGTTTAATTATTATTCTAAAGTGAGTGTCCAATCTAGGTGAGGGTGGACATTTCTTAGCAAATAAGGTTGTGATAACTTGATTTGGTGCCTCAGAGATCAGGGGACTTGATTACTGATGCTATGTGCAAGTTAAATGGCCCTGGGACTATTGATATAAATTCCGAGTACTGCAGTGACCATTAGCCTGTGCATGAGTCAGACTGCTAGGACTTTGTTCTGTCCCAGAATGACTCCATCCCACACTGGAGCAGTCTCTGGGACTTACACTTTAGTGTCATGACAGCTCTATCTTCCATAAATTAAACTGCATTTGGATTCTCTTCTCTGTTTTCCTGCCCTAACTCTGAATTTTTTATTTAGAAAGTTAGGAGTCATGCAGTTTACATGTGTATATGAGTTCTTCTGTCAACTCACTGTGTGGCCTTAGGCAAGTCACTTTATCTCTTGAGTCTCAAATGAGGAGTGTGCGATGAGGTGAACAAATAAATGCCTACCATTCCTTTGACTTTAACAAACACAGCACACAGAGCCACAGTCTTCTGTGGATGTCTCTGACTTACGTCATCGCTTGTGACACACTGCCGTGACAGCTGATTCACATGCACCCACAGTGCATTCCGGAAGAAGTTTATTCGTTCACATTCTTGAGCTTCAAACACCTACAAAAAATAAACTCCATGTATATACATATCTAGAGAAAGGGTCCATTCATTCACACCATCTGTGACTTAAGAAACAGTATCATCCTCAGTTATCTGTAAGTTTATTGCCCAATTTAGGAGAAGCCCTCCCCAACCAGTGAAGAAGCACATAAACTCTGATCATAGACAAAGAATGCAAGTGGATTCTAACATCATATTCACACAAACAGGATTGGATATAGTTCTGAAGGTAAGAAGTAATGATGACCCTGAACACCTGTGTTCTAACCTGACTTCCAGCTGACATTTCTAACTGCCTAATGGTCACTTCCATCTGGGCAGCATTTCAGGCCCCAGACTGAACACACTGTTTCTCCTACCTCCAGATGAATGAATTTGACTCGCAAGATAGTTAAAATTATTGAAGCAGGTTAATGGGTACATGAAAGCCTCTGGCTCTTGTCTTCTATCTTTGTGTATACTTAAATTTTTCTTAATAAAATCTTAAGGTAAAAATCACTGCCTGAACAATAGGGTTTTTTGGATATAAACAAATCAATTTTTGAAAAATCAAGCTATTCTACAAAGTAAGTGCTATTCTATTCAATGGTAGATGTTATATACCAATATATTCTTAAAGTATTAAATACCATAACTATTACATTTTTTTTTCCTTTTTCATGTGCACTTGCCAGAGAGAGACACAGAGAGAGAAAGTGAGAAAGCATCTTCCATGGAGGATGGTCACACCTCAACCTCTAATCCATTTCTCCCTCCTTTCAGGATTTTGGACATACACGCACATGGGCCTGGCATGTTTCTCAAGCTTCTAGGTCCAGGACTTGAACCGCAATTAGCCATGTGGAATCTGGCTGCCTTTACCACTATGTAATGAAGCCAATCCTAAAGCTTCTTATAATATAAAACTTCAAACACATACAATAGTAGAGAGAATATTATAATGAATCTTTGAGTACCCATCACCAACTTAAACATTTATCAACTCACAAACAATTTTATTTTAGCTATATCCCTACTCCCTATAATGTTTTGAAGCAAATGCATTATTTCATATCTAAATATTTTTATCTATATGACATTATACAGTAATGTAATGCTATTACATTATTTTATCATAGACTGTTTCACATGGAATAGAATAGCACTCGTGAGCAATATCATGAATTCACACCAAAAGCATTTGGAGCTTGTTAACACACTGCTCCTGGGCCTTCCTCCAGTTTCTTATTCAGTAGGTCTGGGATTGGTCTGAGAATCTGCATCTCTTAACAAGTTCCCAGTGCCATGGCACTGATCCTGGGACCTGACTGAGAACAACAGGTAAGAAAATGGGAAGACAGGGTGACAGAAACTTGAAGACATTTCTAAATTACGCATTTTCTCAAAGAAATCATAAGCTCATATGGAAAATGCAGGGAAGCAGTGAAGAAATTAAACCAGGCAGGGAAGCCTCCAAAGTCTGTCCACTGTCTGCATTTCCCTTAAAACCTAGCAAGTTCAGGCAAAGGTTTTAAAAGATAATTGCTTAATTAACCATTAACTGACTCAGCTATTTTCGCACCTGTGTCAAACACAAGATGAAAGTTTTGAACAGAATTTAACAGTGTAGTCAGGATGCAAAGGAGGTAAAAACATGACATTTCGGGAAAACTGTTGGGAATTCTTTTCATCCATCACTTAAATTCCTGATTTCTAATTTTCCCTCAAGCTTTTTAACTCTATGGGAATTAGGGCTCTATAATAAGCTAGCAGGACGTTCCTACAAAGTAGACTGTCCAGGTTCCAGGCGGAACCAACCCGTTCCTGAGCCATTTCCGGTTCCGGTACCTCGCAGGCCTTGATGTGCTCGCTCTGCCATTCTTCTCGGACCTTATCCAGCGCGTTGATGTGCTGCATGTATGCTTTGTCTGCAATGGGAGAGAGGGACCTGGGTTCAGAAATTCGGCAGGAGAGCAGCTCGCAGACCCACCCCAGGGTTCATCTCAGATGGTGAAAGGACAAAGGGACTATGTTGAGCTCACAAGGTCCCAAGGAGCTCTGGGCATTGGAAGGACCTAATTACATCCCTCATCCTCCTAATATCCTGTGAAATAAGCAAGGGAGGATATCAATTTCTCTTTAAACATTGAACCAACTGTGGAGCCAGAAATACTCCAAGGAAGAGTGAAAATTGAAAAGTACCTCTGCCAGGATTGGTCTGTCTCAATGCTCCCTTCACTTTTCATTTTCAAGAAAATTATCTTATAAGGGATGCAAAGAGAGCTACTACCTTCAACCCTAAAAGGACACCAACTTACTTGTAATGGTTTCTTAAATGACCGTAGTCACAAGAGGCTTCTTTCCTGCATTTTATTCTGAAAATTAAAAGTCTGCAAACAACTAATTTGGGACATGGCTTTCAGTTAGGACAAAACCTTGCAACGCAACTGTTCTTACACAGCAGGGAACAGTTACTGAGGCTGAAATGAGCTGTTAGATAGGTGTCCCCGGTAAACCAGAGTGTGCACCTGATTACAAAGCAGGACTCGCATGACCACTGCCACCATCAACTCACATGTAAGGCAGCAAAATCTAAGTAGGCAGCAGCCAGAAACCGCTACTTTATTTGCTTCCTCTCACTTTCTGGGATCCTCAATACACCCTACTGAAAGGTAAGGGATTTCTCTCACCTTTTTTACTCCCTCCTGTCCCTTCCTTTCCTCCATTCTTTCCTCCCTCCTTCATTCTTCCTCCTTCCCTTCTGCTATCTTATTAGTCATACATATGAAGGTACTTCAGAATGTTCATAGAGCACTAGATCTATGGTGTACTGGTTATGGGCTGTGCAGACAAAGCTGGATTCTAACCACGGTTTGAGTCCCGGCTCCAGGGGCTTACACAGTGGGCACATGTCCCTGTACCCAGGATCCTAAAAGGATGGAGAACTAGAAGAAAAAATATTGCCATGTTACCAGGTCCTTTCAGGAGGTGTTCCCTGTGCCACCCTGTCTCATACATGCACACATGCCCTCTAGCATAATAATGATGATATTTAAAAAGTTCATACAAAAATGAAATTAAAATACAAGTTTATTTTGGTACAAAAGAAATTGAAACTCCACAGTTTTTTTATGCTACAAATTTTCCACGAACTTTTTGAAGTCCCTATGTATATCCACATATTCATTTAAGGAGAAAAATCATAGTAGAGTACATGTGTGTGCTTCTGCACACAAAAGACAAGGGTAGAGTAAGAAAGAGAAGCACTCTCCACTGGGCAATTTCCTTCTTCCAGTCCTCCAGTTCTCTAGTCCTCCAACCCACCAGAATCTTGGGCATTCAAACGCACCCAGCGTTTTCAGGCTGACCCAGCCAGGGATTTAAACTAAGGGTTGCATGTGGCTTCCTACTGCATATTTCAGCATGCTACTGGTTATACCACAGATCCTTGGCTATATACATATATCCTTTATTATTATAAAGTATATGAAACTACCGTTCTCCAAGACACATTCAAGATAATATAAACCCCACCCCCTACCCTCACCCATCAGTAGGAGCAACCCCCTCACCCGAGTCCTCTGCTGCGGTCTTTGAAGTTGCCAGTTTCACAAAAAGCTGTGAGGACACAAAAGAACAAGAGATCAAGAATGCTGGGCCAGGTCTCCATAGACAAAAGCCATATAAAAGCAATGACTAGAAAGAGACAAAGTCTAGTTCCAAGTCCCACCTGCATTTCCTTCACAAGAAAATTATTCAACTTGCCTTCTAATTTTATCACCTTAGGAAAATGTCCATAAAGTGTTTTCTCCTACATCTTCCTAAAAATAGAGCCCTGCCTGCCTGTTGCTGATGATCTTCCATTCAGATTTTACAAAATTAAATTTATAATCCACCCAAGCAAGAAGCAGCGTGGCTACAAAAATATATGAGCTGAATTCTGAAGAAAGATGAAAAAAATCAGAACCACCTCCCACCTTTCATTACCCCATTCCTCTCCCATGGCCATACTTCTCTAGTTCTTTCCCAACTCTAGAAATATGGCCATGGTTTTTCTGGTTCAAAGGACTCTATTAGCCTGAAGGAAGATCTTGCCAGGGGCTTAGAGTACAGGTCCATTTTATATTAAGAGTCTTAGCCTGATATTTGTAAATCTCAGACTTATTTGGTTGCCAGCCCTCCTAGGTACCTTTTCCTGTTGCTTCGGGTTTACGAGGTTGGCACTTCGGTGGACAGCCTGCTCTGCCTCGTCTTTGTCCCGGCATTTCTGCTCATAGTTCTTCTTTGCCTGGGTTGTTATGAACAAAAAGAGCACTGAAACAGGTAAGCAGACGGTAACCCTGAAAAGCAGCTGCTCTCCCCCACATGAAGGGTACTCTGATTAGTGCTATGGTCTCCACTAGGCTGTGGGCTCTCGGATGCTCTTTCTTACCAGACTTTGAAAGTTTCTCTATCTCTGGTTCTTTTTGAAATTATGTACATTATAGCAACCTGATTAAGGAAGTAATAACCCCTGTTTGTAACACGAAGTACCTGAGCCTTAAAAAGCAGACTGAGGGGCCGACAGGTGATGTGATTACGGTGTTGGACTCTCACATGGCCAACTGCTATTTGAGTCCTGGATCTGGAAGCTTGCTTTCTCGCTTTCCTTCTCTCTCTTTCTTTTTCTCTCTCTCTCTGGTCAAATTAAAAATTAATAATAGTAAATAAAAATTTAAAATTCTGTTTTTAAAAAGTGGACTGAAACAAAAAATAAAATTTGAAATAGTCAAAATCAAAATATTTACCTGACTCTAAAATGTGTTATCCAACTATTATGTAACATTCTTAATCCTCAGAATTTATGTGCATTCACTTGGGTTTTGGTATCTATTTGTACTAATTCTAATTCCAGCTCAATATTCTAATGTGCCATGCCACATCATGGCCACTAGCTGGTCTAAGTTTTCTTAACCAGCCAACTGCTATTTGAGTCCTGGATCTGGAAGCTTGCTTTCTCGCTTTCCTTCTCTCTCTTTCTTTTTCTCTCTCTCTCTGGTCAAATTAAAAATTAATAATAGTAAATAAAAATTTAAAATTCTGTTTTTAAAAAGTGGACTGAAACAAAAAATAAAATTTGAAATAGTCAAAATCAAAATATTTACCTGACTCTAAAATGTGTTATCCAACTATTATGTAACATTCTTAATCCTCAGAATTTATGTGCATTCACTTGGGTTTTGGTATCTATTTGTACTAATTCTAATTCCAGCTCAATATTCTAATGTGCCATGCCACATCATGGCCACTAGCTGGTCTAAGTTTTCTTAACCAGCTCTCAATTCATGAATATTTGTCTTGTTTTTCATTTTTTGGTAGCAATACTCTGATTTTGAGTCGTGCATATTCATCTATGTAGGACAAATTCCTAGAAGTGCAATGGTCTAGCAAGAGTAGATACTCATCAGGCTTCCCTCCAAAATGGTTGTACAAAATTATACTCCTTTCATAGTATATGAGAGTACCTATTTCCTCATGCTCTCACCAATACCAAGCTTGATCAATGTTTTTCATCACTTCTAACTTTGAGGTGAAAATATTAGCATATTGTTGTTTTATTTGTGTATCTTTCCTTATTACTAAGATGATATACCCTTTCTACTTCATGATTTCCCTCCGACCCCAGTTGTCAGAGGGCCAGTGTGCTCACCAGAGAAAGATTGGGGATGGGGGCAGAAAGCCAAAAAACACCCTCCCATGGAACACGGTCACACCATAATCCCTTCTCCATTCTCCTTGAGATTTTGGGCATGTTTGCACATGTGCCTGGCATACTTCTCAAGCCACCAGATCTGAGATTCAAATCGTGCAGTTAGCTACCTCAACCCCCAGGCTTCCAACTGGCTCCTGAGTTCATGTTTCTTATCTACTTTTCTGTTGGATAATCTTTTTTATTTTCCAGACAGGGTATCGCTGTGTCATGATCAGTAGCTGGTAACACAGGCTTCCCTCCAGTGCTCTTGGCTTTTCAGGGCGAGACAGGAGTCAAACTCAGACCTTTCACGTGGCCTTCAGCCTGCAAGGTTGCCATGTCAACCACTGTGTGCGCCCATAGCTAGGCCCTGAACTTTCTTTATTTGTAGGGACATGTTCGGAGAGAGGCCCTGAGGATGTGGGGACATGCCCTAGGCAAACATCACCTGTCCCTTTTGGCTATGACAGAACCTTGCAACTTGTCCTTCCCTTGACCCTTACTGCAAGCAGATTAAAGGATAGAATTTTCTAGGGGCCTTCCAACAGATACATCTGATGGAATTCAGGAAACATCCTGGCCCCAATTAGCAAAGTCCAACCCCTGGTCTGCCTCTGTAAGATTCTTTAGCCTTATCAATACCCCTTTGATGTTTACAAGAAAGTATCCTCCCCATACCTGCAGGTGTCTCTCCACTAGATAAGAAGTTTATTGGGATTTTTTTTTTTTTGATATGGAGGTAGCGAAGAGATACACCTAGCTCAATATGTCTAAGCTCTTATAGACTTGTTACCTGCTTCTTATTGTCTGTAACATGTCAATTTATCTATGGAATGTCATGAGATACACGTATGTAGTGTTGCTTTGCCCTATAAATAAAGCAGCCCAGTTTCTCTGGGCAGCACAAGTTGCTTGGGCTACTTAGGCTCAAGCCACCTGTGTTCATTGCTGCTCTGTATTTTTGTCTCTTTCTTTCTGCTTCCTCTTAGGTAGAGCTAAATCCCAGGCAGATGCTGACAACATTTTATTTATTTATTTATTTATTTATTTATTTATTTATTTATTTATTTATTTATTTATTTATTTATTTATTTATTTATTTATTTATTTATTTATTTATTTATTTATTTATTTATTTATTTATTTATTTATTTATTTATTTATTTATTTATTTATTTATTTATTTATTTATTTATTTATTTATTTTGAGAGAGGTTTTTGCTATAGGGTGCACATGCTCACCAAAGAGACAGAAAACCAGAAAGTGAGAAATCACCCCCCAGGAGGGATGGCCGTGCCACAATCCCTTTTCCTCCAGTCTCCTCTCAGGATTTTGGGCACACCTGCACACGTGCCTGGTGTGAGTTTCTACCTGCCAAGTCTGGCACTGGAACTGCATGGAGTCTAAAGCAGTAACTATTACGCAATCTGCTGGTCCCCTTGATTAGTTTTTAATAGCTCAGTGTATATGAGGCATACTAGTCAACTATAAGTAATATAAATAACAAATATTTTTCCCAATTTGTCACTTACAGTACTATGTTTAAGATAATAGTATCTTTTCTCTACTATAAAGAAGTCTTAAATGTTAATGTTCTCAGTTTTCCATTTTTCTAGATCTTCCCTTATTTATTTATTTTTTTTAGAGGGTTTTGCTATAGGGCACGTGCACTCACCAGAAAGAGAGAGACAGAGAGACAGAAAGCGAGAAATCATTGCCCAGAGGGGATGGCCACACTGCAATCCCTTCTCCTTCATTCTCCTCTCAGGATCTTGGGCACGCACGCACATGCTCTGGGCGTGAGTTTAAGCCACCAGGTTTGGGACTCGAACCACGGTCAACTACATGGGAGTCCAGCAATAGCCATTATGCCAAATGCTGATCCTCTTTCTTTATTTTATTTATTTATTTATATTTATTTATTTATTTATTTAATGGGGGGGCAGTTTTTGCTATAGGACACGTGCGCTCACCAGAAAGAGAGACAGAAAGCGAGAAATCACTTCCCAGGGGAGATAGCCACACTACAATCTCTTCTCCATTCTCCTCTTGGGATCTTGGGCACACATGCACACATGCCCAGCCTGAGTTTAAGCCACTGGGCCTCGGACTCAAACCACAGTTGACTATGTGGGAGTCCAGCGACATAGCCATTACACCAACTGCTGGACCTCCCCTTCCTTTATTTTTTAATACAGCATGCTAAGCAGTTTTTCTCTGCTGCAACATAATTTTCATAACTGTATTTATGTTTATTATATTTTTTACTTGCCAGAGGTCACATGGACCCACAAGAGAGAAAGAGAGTTACAGAAAGGAAGAGGAAGAAAGCATCCCTCAACTGGGTCTGATCATTCTGTAATTCCTTCTCCATTTCTTTATTGTGTCAAGATCTTTGGCATGCACACACACACATGTACTGGCATATTTCTCAAGCTACTGAGGCCAAGACTCAAACCACTAGGTCTACCTTATGAGATATGGTCCCTTTAACTACGAGGCCATGGGACTAGTCCTATTATTGTACTTTTAAAGGCTATTTAATCTTTCTCCACCAGCTGGTCATTAGGTCATTTCTAATTTTCATTATTAGATATAGTGAACATGTTCATGCCTTTAGTTTCTTTATTTTGGATGATTCCTGAATATACAGTCTTGGATTCCTTTTCTTTTTGATTTTTTTTTTTGGGGGGGGTGAGAGGTTTTTGCTATAGGGCGCGTGCGCTCGCCAGAAAGACAGAGAGAGACAAAGAGACAGAAAGCAAGAAATCACCTCTCCTCCCCCGGGGGATGGCCACGCCCACAGTCCCTTCTCCTCCATTCTCCTCTCGGGATCTTGGGCACGCACGCACACGCACCCGGCATGAGTTTAAGCCACCAGGTCCGGGACTCAAACTGCGGTCGACTACATGGGAGTCCAGCAACATAGCCATTACACTAACTGCTGGTCCCCCACAGTCTTAGATTTTTAAGATTGATTGGTTATGACTACATTTATGACTCTGAAGCCATACTGCAAAATAGCTTTCTAAAAGTTTATACAGGCTTCTGGTAAGGTGGGGTAAATGTACTTTTTTCCCATTGCTCCACATTAGCATAAATAAAAACCCTAAACATCGCATGGAACACAAACATAAGGAGACTCTAAAAGGTGGAGAGAAGAATACAGACTGGCTGGGAACCAGCAGTTAGCGTAATGGCTATGTCGCTGGACTCCCACGTAGTCGATCGCAGTTCACGTCCCGGACCCGGTGGCTTAAAACTCACGCCAGGCGTGTGTGCTTGTGTGCCCAAGATCCTGAGAGGAGAATGGAGGAGAAAGGATTGCGGCATGACCATCCCCCCTGGGGGGTGATTTCTAGCTTTCTGTCTCTATGTCTCTGTCTGTCTGGCGAGTGCACGCGCCCTATAGCGAAAATCTCTCCAAAAAAAAAAAAAAAGAATACAGACTGGCTAATGACCTTGCACTCTAAAAGCAACCCAAAGGTGAGTTCCCTAATTTTCTTTTTACCTCATACATCAAAGACTGAGTGCCAAAGGAGTAGGCAATTTAGAAATGCCAAGGATCACAGATAAAAACAAAACAAAACAAAAAACGAAAGCCTACTTCCTCTAGCCAAATAAACAGAAAAGAGGCAGCCCAAATGGATAGAAACCTTTAGAAAATAATCATTTTATTGCAGCAAAACACCACATTAAGAAAAACCAGGGCCTCACCCCCACACGTGCCAGCAATGGGCTTGTGGAAAGTCTAAACTTTCATCATCATCAGGCTGTAAAGAGGTCCTCACACTGAGGTGGTTTCAGAAAAGTACAAATAGGGAACTGGGACCTTCATATCCACTAGGAGGTAACAAAGGCCCCCACACGCTGTGTCAGTGGAAAACATGTGAGGAACCTAGACTTCCATCCCCACCTGGCAGTGATGAGCTGTCCCCTACCCCTTCTGGGGTGGTGTCAGAGGAAATCTAATGAAGAGTTAGAACTTTGACCACCTTCCAGTAACAAAGACACACCCACTCTGTGGTATTATCAGTGGAGGTGCTGACCTGGACTTTATCCTGACATAGCAATAACGAGGCAATGCCTCACCTCCTTCTGCAAGAGTGGTGTCAAAGGAAGCCAGCTAAAACAGAAAGCAAGATCCAGAGTCCTGTAAACTAATACACAAAATGTCCAAAATCAATTGGATATAACTCATCATGCCAAGAATGAGAAAGATATCAAACTGATTGCAAAAAGACAATCAATTGATGCCATATTCAGATGAGAGATGTTAGAATTATCTGACAAAGATTTTAAAACAGCCGTTATGAAAATATTCAGCCTACAATTACAAGCACATTGGAGTCAAATGAAAAAATAGATAATATGCCCTCCCCCCAAAAAGAAAAACTGAGCAAAGAAATAGAAGATATAAAGGACTGAATGGAAATTTTAGAACTGAAAAATACAATAAACAAAATTAAAAACAAACTCATTGAATGGGCTTAACGAGAATAGAAGAGACAAAAGAATCTGTAAACAGAGGGTAATAGAATCTACCTAATATGAACAACAGAGAGAAAATAGGCTGAAGAATATTAACAGAGTCTCAGTGCCCTTTAACAATGTAAGATCAAATACTCATGTCCTTGGAATCCTAGAGGGAGAGGAAAAAGAGGGTGAACTGAAAAAGCATCTGAAGGGGCCAGTAGGTGTTGTAGTTAAGGCACTGGACTCCCACATGGCTGACCACAATTGGAGACAGGACCCAGCAGCTTGAATTCATACCAGGTGCATTTGCATATATGCCCAAATCCCAAGACGAGAAGAGCTTGTACTATGGCCATCCTCCCTGTGGGATGATTTCTCAGTTCCCCTCCCACTGTCTCTCTCTGGTGAGCACACATGTCCTGTGGCAAAAACAAAAACAAAATTTACCTGAAAATTAAACTCACGCTGGGCACGTGTGCATGTGTTCCCACGATCCCAAGAGGAGAATGGGGGAGAAGGGATTGTGGCGTGGCCATCTCCCCTGGGGGGTGATTTCTCACTTTCTGTCTCTCTATCTGTCTCTGTCTGTCTGGCGAGCACACGCATTCTATAGCAAAAACCTCTCAAAAAAAAGAAAAAATAATGGCTGAAAAATAATGGCTGAAAATTTTCCAAATTTATTGCAAGACACAGAGCTACAGATTCAAGAGGCTGATTGAACTCCAAACAAGGCCCAGCCATGGTGACACAACAGTTCAATGCTCTGCAATACTGGAAGCTATCTGGGAGATTGGAGTTCAGTTCTCAGGTCATCTCTTATATATCAGGTGCATACATGCATGCCCATGATCTTTGCTAGCTGGGAAGGTTAGGAAGAAGATCAGAGAATGATACTCTCTTGAGGATGCATCTCTCATTATTTCTCTCTGTCTCAATAAATAAATAATTTTCAGAAGAATTATTTATTTATTATCATTATTTTTCAATTTTGACCAGAGACAGAGAGAAAGAAAAGAGAGAGAGAAAGTCGCCAGGTCCAGGACTTGAACTATGATCGGACATGTGGAAGTCCAGCACTCTTAACCACCATGCCACTTGCTGGCCCCATAAATAAATAAATGTTAAAACTCCAAAGAAAGGGGACCAGCAGGTGGCATGGTGGTTAAGAGTGCTGGACTTCCACATGTCCGATCATAGTTCAAGTCCTGGACCTGGCGACTTTCTCTCTCTCTCTTTCTCTCTTGTTCTGTCCCTCTCTGGTCAAATTTTAAAAAAAAATGAATAAATAAAATAAAATAAATAATTATTTTTTTAAAAAACCTTCAAAGAATATGTGTGTGCATCCCTGACATGAACGAGGAATAAAGGAAAAAGGATTATGGTGTGACATTTGGGGGTGCTTTCTCTCACACTTTCTCTCTTTGATGAAAGTACACACCCTCTGGCAATAAAAAAAATTATCTATAATTTAAATTTTTATTTATTTATTCCATGAGCAAAAGAGAGACAGAAAAACAAAGGAAGAAAGAGACAGCACCCTAATGGGATCTCAGTGTCACGATTCATCCATATCTTCAGCCAGTCCCACATCATGGGCATGTGCCTGCCTAGTGCACTCATGGAGGTCCCCAGATGCAAACCTGGAACCTTCTCATGTGGCTCAGCCTCACACAGCCTTGTAAATTGCTACTGTACCACGACCTGGCCCCTAAGAAAAATTATATTTTGATAAGATGTTGTCTTTAATTGTGAGAAAATTTGCACCAGATTGTTCAAAACAAAAAAGGTTGGGAGAAATATATCAACCAACACCATTTCTGCATTACACTTATATCATTCCCTATATATCAGTTGATTCTGAGATGATCTGTATCAAACAATGCAGCAGAACATTGGTGATATTTTCATATCATTTCATAGCCATAGAATGTCATGATGATGTGGGATCAGCAGATGGCTTAATGATTACATTGTTGGACTCCCACATAGTAGACAGTGGTTCAAGTCCTGGACCCAGTGGCTTAAACTCATGCCAGGCACATGTGCATGGGTGCCCAAGATCCTGAGAGGAGAATGGAGGAGAAGGGATTGTGGCATGGCCATCCCCCCTGGGGGGTGATTTCTCACTTTCTATCTCTCTCTCTCTCTCTCTCTCTCTCTCTCTCTTTCTGGTGAGCACACATGCCCTATAGCAAAAGTTAAAGTGATATCCATAGTAATTTGTCTTATCAGTCTTGCCAAACTTTTTTTTTCTATTTGTAAGTTTTTGCATAGGGTGCATGCACTTGCCAGTGAGAGACAGAGAAGAGAGAGAAAAAGTAAGAAATCACTCCTCACCTACATGAGGGATGGCCATGCTGCAATACATTCTCTTCTAGTCTCATCTCAGGATTTGGGGCATGTACACACATGTGCCGAATGTGATTTTCAAGCCTGCCAGGACTTGAACCACATACAGCCAAATGGATATCCAGTGCCTTATCCACTAAGCCATCTGTTGGCCCTGCCAAGCATTAAGTTACTTTTTAAAAAGAAGGCTTGGGCCAGCAGGTGGCATGGAGATTAAAGTGTTGTATCCCACAATGTCTGTTGCTTGGTTTCAGTCCTGGACCTGGCGGCTTGAAAATCATGCCAGGCATGTGTGTATGTGTGGTCAAAATCCTGAGAGAAGAATGGAGGAGAAAGGATTGTGACATGTCTATCCTCCTTGGGGAGTGATTTCTCACTTTCCCTCTTTCTGTCGCTCTCTGGCAAGTACATGCGCCCTAGAGAGGCTTTTACGATTTGGGGGTATAGTAAAACAGGAAGGAGGTCACTCAATAAAGCAGATAAGCAACAAAGATTCAAAATAGTCATGGGAGTAAAATCTCAAATCCAAAAAGATGAAAAAAGAATTGTAGAGTGAATATGCTTTTGTGTCTTGGCCCAAAATATTTTAAATGACTTGCTATATTTTCCCAGGTTACCAGAAAGCTAACACCATTGTATTTCTACTATCAGGTTTCATCTTTGATCTTCCCACAGCCTTAAAAACAAAAGAAGGAAAGCCAAGCCACTCAAGTTTATTTTCCCTAAAACGCTGCACTAAGAAATAAGAACATTATTAAAATGTTATCCAAGTAGGGAGACACTCACACACTGCACAGGATTTCAGAAAAATGTCACCCTTGCAAACAAAGGTAAGAAAGTGTGACTCACGTCCATGGTTTTCTTGAACTGTAAGCTCTTTTGTTTATGGATAGCATCCATTATAAGCTCTGTCTGTGAAGAGAACATAAGGGCTATTAATGAAAATAGAAATTGTTATTAATACCAGTTTATTTTGAGGGCTAAGTATTCAACATGGTTTACTTCATTTTGTCCTCACACCACACCAAGGCAGTGTGCTATTTATTACGCCCACTTCAAACATGAGGAAACCACAGCACAGCAAGGCTAAGCAATTTGTCAGTCTTATGGCTAGCCAATGATGTACCCTATTTTGAACTTGGGCAGAACTCATGACACTGTGGAGACTCCCTGATCACTTTAGAAAGATCTCTTTAGTAAATCTGGAATCAAAAATCTTTGATTTCAAAAAAGAATTATTAAACTTTTGTTAAATACCATTTACATTTTAAAAGGGTTTTTTATTCTGTAAGCTTATGTCGGCACAATTAAATTAGAGGCCTGTAAACATTCATGTCCATTCCCTATCAAGAACATATATGTCCTTATTCATCAAGGCGCTAGTGCAGGGGTCAGCCGGTGGTGTGATCATTAAGGCACTGGACTCCCACATGGTCAACCGCAGATCAAGTTCCAGACTTGGTGGCTTGCTTTCTCACTTTTCTCTCTCTCTCTCTCCTCAAATTTTTAAAATAATAATAATAAATTATATAATTATTTAGAAAAAAGATGCCTGGGCAATGCCAAGGGAAGACATGTCTATAAGACAGCTAGGGGGAAGGACCAGCAGTTAGCGTAATGGCTATGTTGCTGAACTCCCATGTAGTCGACTGCAGTTCGAGTCCCGGACCTGGTGACTTAAACTCACACCGGGTGTGTGTGCGTGCATGTCCAAGATCCTGAGAGGAGAATGGAGGAGAAGGGATTGCAGTGTGGTCATCCTCCCTTGGGGGGTGATTTCTCACTTGCTCTCTCTCTTCTCTCTCTGTCTTTCTGGCGAGCGCACGTGCCCTATAGCAAAAAACTCTCAAAAAAAAAAAAAAAAGACACCTAAGAGAAGCTATTCTGCTATTCTCTACTCCACCTAACCCAGGTTTTATCAAATGAATATGGAAGCAATTTTTTTTTTTGTGACTATGATGTTAGTTTTTTCTCTGAGCCACTGGGTCTGGGAATTGAACTACATAATTGACCATGTGGGATCCAGCTGCCATAACCATCATACAACTGGCTGGCCCATATTTTTATTAGTCAAAATAATGAAGCCAATAATGAAGATGTATACTACCTCTCAGACATAACAATAGTAACTCCCACTTATCAAGCCCTTTCATGCTAAGCATTTTCACATCTATATGAGTACTATTATTCCTATTTTCCTGATGGTACTAAAGTTGATTAACTTACTCAAAATAACAAGTACAAGCATGCCTCACCACTGAGTTCTGGTCCTATGACTGGGTTGTTAAACAAATTTGTGGCTAAGTAAGGAGCTTAAAGACAGATGTCTTGTAGTGTGTCATGGCATCACAGGGTATATAAATATTTTTCAATGGGTATCATGCGACACCACACTACAATAATGTAATTCAAAAGGTGCTGGAAAATTACAAGATAAGTGACAGAAAGCAACAAGACACATCACAATACAATAACATAAATCCGGCATGTTTGTTTTATTTATTCTAAATACTACTATGGGTGCACAAAAGCACAAATTTATAAATGAAATATATAGTATTGTGTAATTGTGAGCACTTCCTGTAGTGAATACTAGCTGACTTCAGGAAAGAGACAGAAACTGAGAAAGAGGATTCCTAAGACTCACGGAGACTGAGAAAGGGAATTCCTTGGGCTGAGAACTGGTTGTAAATTCCAGGAGTGGATAAGTAGGTAGGTCCGTAAGTGAGGAGTGGCTACAACAAAACTGAAATCTGAACCCAGAAAACTGACTCAGCATCCTTGAATCTAATTATCATCCTAAACCGCACAAGTTATCCTTATGACTGCTCTCTAAAACCAATCAGTATAAAAGGTGGAGAGAAGCAATGGTTTAAAATAAGGAATGAGGGAACCAGCAGTTAGCATAATGGCTATGTCGCTGGACTCCCACGTAGTCGACTGTGGTTCACGTCCCGGACCCGGTGGCTTAAAACTCACGCCGGGCGCGTGTGCGTACGTGCCCAAGATCCCGAGAGGAGAATGGAGGAGAAGGGATTGCGGCGTGGCCATCCCCCCTGGGGGGTGATTTCTTGCTTTCTGTCTCTATGTCTCTCTCTGTCTGGCGAGCGCACACGCCCTATAGCGAAAACCTCTCCAAAAAAATAAATAAATAAGGAATGACACTGACTTTTTGCAATAGTTATATGATAATATTAACAATGAAATGTAATTGTTATTCCTTCTAGATACATTTAAAATTAAGTTTTTGTCCATTCCCATAACACACAAATATGGATGGATGGATTTTCAAGGTATCTGAATGAAATAGTTGAGAAGGTTTCACTTTAAATATGAGCTTTGTGGAGTACATGAAATTCCCTCGAGGGAACCCAGCAGTCATCTTCCAACCCTGCTGGAAGTGTAGGGCCATAGGGTGGCTATTCACCTGCCAATGGTGAAGATAACAAAGACAGAGAGAACAGACAGGGCTCCAACATGAGCCCCACAAGGATAGGCAGGTGACAGAGCCTTACCAGCACAGGCAGGGAGCTATGGGTCACACAAGCATTATGTCCCTCTGCAGGAGGAGCTGGAATTTTATTTAATAATGGCTCCTGACTTTCCCAGGCTACGTGGAGCAGATCCATTAGCAATGTTGATCTGTTCCATGGTCCTTCTGGTCTGAATATAGACATTGCCACTCTTCCAGGTGGAGATAGTACTATTTCTTAACATTTTTATTTATTTACTTCATGAAAGACAATCTTTCTCTCTCAAGTGTACCTTGAGAGAAGCATACCTCACTATGCTGTGATCCTCCCCATGGCTTCCCAGTCAGCCAGGATCAAGAGCACATACCATTCAACCAACATGTTCAGATCAACACTGATCCAAAGCTGGGCCTCCTGTGTGGCTCCAGTATCAGGCAGCAGTGCCCTACTGCCTGTGCCTTGCTGGCTGGGCTGCTACCATTTTATAAGTGGTGGCCCAAGCTTAGCCTCCTTATCTCCAAATGCTACATAACACCTGCTTCAAGCCCCTCTTGGGAGCTGCCAAGTTCTACCAGTAGCCAAACATTTTTGCTTCCTATAATTCCTCCCCGTTTCAGTGATTCCTGGCATTTGCAACTTGGTAGGACCAAAAAAGCAGCAGTCCAACTCTAACTTGACAGGTACAACCCCTTAGAGGTCACATATTGTAAGCCCCAGAGATGCTCAAAGTCACTCACTGAGTTGGCGGTGGAGAATTTTGACTTAGAGAAGTCCACCTCTGTCTGAGACACTACCTTAATTAAAGTCTCATGTCCATGTTTACTAATAGAAAACTTACTTATGGTGACTCCAGAGTGTCAAAAGTTCTCTTTCAGGTCTCCTTGAGGAAATATCTGTTCTAGGACTCTGAAATACTCTGCTCAGACCAAATCCAGTAGAAATTTTTTTTCTCTTTTTATTCCTCTATGCCATGGAGCTGTGCCCCCGCCCCCGCCATGAAAATTAGATTGTGTCTCATTATCAATTACACCGAAGAATGGAAAAACACAATCATCTGTGTTACAGGGTAGGGAGAAGCAATAGCAAGCATAAAAGGGAGAAGGCATTTGCAAATAGGCCAAATAAACCTGAGGTAAATTATTGAAATATCGGCTTCATGATCCATGTTTCTGTCTACCTGCACTCAGACTGAATTCTGAAAACGAAAAGTATTGCTCTCTGTAACCAAGGAGCCCCTTTCTTTGAAGATAGTTCCCTATATAGGCAGCAGAAAATTCTGATATGGCCGTTTCAATCTCGGCTGAGATGATAAAAAATGTGGGCACCAGAGGAGCGTGACTGACCAAGCGTCATCTTTACCAACTCAAGACATTTCTGGCCTGAGGAAGAAAATCAGCACCCTTGATCATTTAGACTCCTGAAAGTGGTTCCTAAGACCCCATCCTATCCTACCAATCCAGACACGGGAACCTCGCCTCTTACCACCCCATGTGCACAGACTGTCCCCAACTTACAATGATGCCACCTAGGATTTTTTTTTTCACTTTATGATGGGTTTATGGGGTTATTGCATGCATTTTTTTTTTTGAGAGATTTTCACTGTAGGGCGCGTGCGCTCGCCAGACAGACAGAGAGAGACATAGAGACAGAAAGCAAGAAATCACCCCCCTGGGGGGTGATGGTCACGCCGCAATCCCTTCTCCTCCATTCTCCTCTCGGGATCTTGGGCACGCACGCACAC